TTTTTGTCCAGATTTAACATCAGTATCGATATCGGTTATCGGCTACATGAGTTTTAAAACATCGGCATATCGGATATCGGCCAAAATCCCAATATCGTGCATCCCTAATAAAAACCTCAATAAAATAAACTGAACTTGTTTTGTAGCATCACAAAATGGAAAATAGGTCAACACAGTAGAAATGAGAATACCCATATTACCTTTTTTTCTTCCATGGACCTGTCTGAAGCCCTGCATGAATAAATTATATTCCTGTTTATCCTTCTATACTAATTTATGTTTTCTTTTCCTCAGCCCGTTGTCACTGCCCTGCCAGAGGAGAGTTGGGGGTTCGGAGTCCCGTAAATCAAAGCGTCGCATCATGGAGACACAGGTCAGCGCCTCTGTCTCAGGAGGAGTGGGGGGGGGTCATTGATATGTTCTCCATTTTTAACTGCACTCAGGTAAACAGTTCCCTCCAACTCCAATCAGCTGTCAGTAAGACGGCGCCATAAAGGTTCATTTCGCCGTGAAGATCCGTTTTTTTTTTTACTCCCCTCTCTGAGTTCAGTGCTTCTGTAGCAGTTCTGCAGGATGCTAATGTCTGACGGTACACAGATAGATTAATAATAGCTCTGAGAGTTGTGGCGGTGCTTCGCTAAAATGTTTAATTCAAATCTAATCTTGCCAAAACCTGCTCTTGTATTTCATCAACACCTGCAGTTCAGCGTCGCATTTATCATTATCATCAAAGCCAATTCCCAGCGGATCACTCTGGAACAAGTACCATCACATGTGGCGGTTGCTATTAATACTCGGCGTTCTTAACCGAGAATGCTCCTTGTGCTTTTTCCCTCCTACTCATCACTATGATCTGAGTATGTGCATATACTGTAATCCTGGAACAATGCGCTCTGCAGAGCTCCCTCTCTCTTTTTTTCTTCCTCTGGCATATCCAGGTCTCATTGTTCTCCTCTGACTGATGTTAATCTCCGCCTGGCTTTGAGGAGCTGCTTCTTCTTGTAGTGAGGAAAGCGAGATGGGTAGGAATGCTGATGGCCTGGGATCACTTCCAAGCGCACTTTGCAGTCAATTACAGTTTGGCCAGGTGGCGCTGGCACCTTGACAGCGCAACTCTGACAGAGGAGCAGCGTTTAAAGGCACAGACGTTTGCTGAAGCCTCTGAGTAATAGTCCTCCATCATTATAGTCATGCTACAGAATGATAATGGGCTCAGTGTGGTGCTATACGTCACAGTCCAGTGATGAGGAATCGGCCTCCGGGATGATGTTCCCGGTGACTGATGGCTCTATCAGATGATCCTAAAGTTTGCACTTGTTACGGGTCGTTGATAGACAGAGAGCTGCTAGCTAACCAACGATATGAGAGAAGATTTGAAGGGAAAACACATTTCTTTCCCCCAGATTATGCATAAAAAAATGTTTTAGTGATTCTATTTTCATTTTTATTCACATAATTTTCATATTTACACAGTGGACTGAAATAGAATTGCAAAGTATTCATAGCATTTAAGGCTTTCACATTTTTCTCATTTTCCAAGCACACATTTTTATGTTTTTTTACCAGGTATTTATGTAACAGAGCAAAAAAAAAACGGATGATTTTCAACTGGAAGGAAAATCTTTCATGGTTTTTCTTTTTGTTTTATACATATTTAACAATGTTGAATGCATGAGGTAATACTTTCAGCAGCTTTCAGAGTAATTACAGCTGCAAATCTTTCTACCAGCTCTGCAGATTCAGAGATTTTAGGCTGATTGATCTATTCAAAATAACTCTAACTCAGTTATTCATTGCAACTCTAAATGTATGTTAAAGAATGTGGTCCTGCTGGGTTTTACCTCCAACTGTTTTCACTATAGTTTTGATTTAATTCTGCATTGGATAGGTCGTGCAAACAGGTCCATTAAACTTTGTTTAGATGACTAACTGAATGTGCTACAGGCAGTTTGAGAGTGACAGTGAAAGACAGATATTTTTCGAATTTCTTGTTTCACAAATTGCATTCTTTTCAAACTGCTTTTTAATAGATCACACAATCCCGCAATGCAATCCGTAAAACAACAATTTGATATGAAAGCAATTTGTTAAACTAAACCTGTAAAGGAAAAATTTGAAAAAGGAAAATTTGTAAATCTAAAATAATAAAGTTTGAAACAGCAATAAGAAAATAATACAAAAACAAACAAAACTAAGAAAAGTTATTTAAAAAAAAATAAAATCTAACAGAAAAGCTTTTCAAAGTTCAAAGTTTTTCAAAGGTCAATATCTGGATTGCATTTTCTTTATAATTTCTTTTTACTAAACATGTTCTTCACCTGCAACAATAATGGAACCAAGTTTATTCCATGCATCCAAATATTTCCAAAGCATTTGCGTTATTTTGTGGCTCTGTAGATGTTCGAGCCAAAGCATTCAGGCTGCTGACACAGATAATAAATGATCCAGTCACCTTTTTTATATATATATATATATATATATATATATATATATATATATATATATATATATAAACTTGGTCACTTTACTCCTGCTTTCAAATCTGACTCTCTGTCCGCTGGTGGAGCAATAACTTGTGCGTTCACCTGCCTGCAGGCGCTCAGGGTGAATTGATCAGAGTCTGAAAGTTTTCAATGTACTTTTCTTGGGTAAATGTGCAAATAGACACAGTTTATTTTCGTTATCGGCTTAATTTCAGTGTAATTTTGACAAATTTCAGTGTTGCCAGTGTTTGTGCTAAAATGCACTGGTCACAGTCCTGGGGGAGAGGGTGCAGATGTTAGTTAAATGGTGGATAAGCTCATAAAAATGAGCATAGTGTCCTGAATTTCAGCATAGTGGGGAGAAATCTGAGTGTAGCGACCCGATACGCTTAAATACGCTGGCAAGAACCCTGATGTACATATTCACACGTGCATAAACACGATGAATCATACCATTATTATCTATTAATCCACATGACCACAACCATGGGAAATATATGTATACACCATCCACCATACCCATTAGTTTGATCGCCATTCTTCCATCTCATATTTTTTTTAAGAAAACCAGTCTGAAACTTTTCCTAAACAGTTTCATGTTGAACATTGTTTTATTTCCACACTTGGATCCATACTTGATACCTTTTAAATGAAATACATGCTCTTTTCATGTTTGTTTAAGCACATAACATTTTAACATTTGGATTCTTCCTCTCTTTCTTAACAAAACATTTTTTTAATGCAATCTGGTGGCTGTTTAGCTTTATAAATTAAATGTAAGCTTTGAAACCGATCAGAGTATTTAAGCAAGCAGGAATGAATGAATAATAGGTTAATGAGGTCATGGTAGCCTGTTGTGGATTTAGCCGAAACATCCATCTTACAGAAATGACAGAAAATTCAGATTGATGCAACATGGCTTTACTTCTCAACCGCTGCATCTTAAAAAAAAAAAAAAAAAATTATATTGCTTCATTTACTGACTCAGCTTTTCTTCTTCGCCATATAAATTACAAGAAAACAACAACCTTGCTATAACATGAGGCACCTGCGCCCTCTAGCGGTGAAACATTTGTGCAGCCGACTGACTTTTGTGACAATTCTTAACTCTATAATCCATAAAAACCTTTCCCTTTTCTCTTTTAATACATTTTATTATTATTTGTAATTGTAATATATTTCTATTTTTTTAATTGTGAACTTTTCAATTAACCATATTATAAAACTATTTAACATTGCCAACCTTATGAACTCTCCTGGCGGCTCTTTTCTTCTCCCCAATAAACTTTCTAATAAACATCATCATCTGGTTGCCATTCAAGCAGAGTACGGCTAAGCGCTTTTATTTTAGTCATTGTGTTTTAATGTTTTGTTTAATAGCACCATAAAACACTGCTTACGGTTATTCACTTTACTTCTGTTTTACTGATATCACTGAATATCATTGAGGAGGCTGTAATGCGTTTCTCTGTAAAGCACTCCTTTCAAGATCATTATGATATTTTTCTAAATAAGGTTTAGACACGTGATGCAGGAACAACATTCTTCCTGTTGACGGATTTAGGATAAGAAATCTTTGTAAGAAAGCAGAAACACATCAAGTTTAAATACACTTAGTTAAAATAAAAAAAAAAAAGTAGATAATTTTTATTGACTGAATTTTCTGGATCCAAAACTGGCTTAAAGATAAAAGGTCACTGTGATTCCAAAAAAGTTTGAAGACGTTTCGCTTCCTGTCCAGGAAGCTTTTTCAATTCAAAATGTCAGAAATAGCGTTGAGTTCGAGGCTTTATGCAGTAGCCCAACAAAGCCTTGTGTTGTGTTAAATGAGGAAGTTATGTCCCCTAAAAAAGCCGTTGCGCCTCTGGGGCTTCCTCACGGTTCTTTTCCTGGGAGCAAGTTATTTACTACTCTTAACTCAAACTGGGTAAAACCATATAAAAAAGGACTATAAAACAGGAGTAAAAAAGTAACAGAGTTTATTCCAGATCAGGTCGTTACAGGACAGAGAAAATGCTTGGAGCTTGCACAGCTGTGGGCTCAA